TGATGGCCATTTATAATAACATCTCTTCAAATATAAATGATAAAACAAGTGAATACATATTAAGTACATATTATATAAGTAATATATTATTATTATTATTATTATTGTGTGTGTATAAAGTAAAACTAAAACCACCGAAAAAAAGTTACTTGAAGCAAAAACATGAACTGAAATGAAATATGAAAACATTTGTGTTTTATTTTAGCTACACTGAAAAAAAATTGGCATAGGATTTACTTTGAAAGAATTTTCACTTAGACATTGTTAGTAAACTTTACAAATAATTACAAATAAATACTAATTTTTACTTTAACTTGAAGTACTAAAAATAAGTAATAAATAAATTTAATAAAAACTATATAGAACAACAACAAAAAAAACTTAGAAAATATATCTAATTCAAAATAAAATGACTAAAACTAAATAAATTAAAACTAATGAATAAAAATGAATAAAAAGTATTTAGACTTTTTTTTTAATAAAAATGACAGAAACAACAAAAATTTTACAAATAAAATGAAAACAGAAAATCGCCTTCACAATAAGTAAACCTAAATAAATTTAAATTAATTAATAAAAATGAATACAAACTACTATTAACTAATAGAAATCACAGAAACAATAAAAAACTAAAATTTAAGTGAAAACTGAAAATAAACTAAAACTAAATGAACTAAAACTACTAAATACAAATGAATAGAAACTATATAGACATATTAAAAAAAAAAACTAGTAAAAATGACAAAAACTACAAAATTACTAAACTGTTCAAATGAAAGTAAAAATACAGAAAATATAAAAATAAAACCTAATTCAAAATATTAAGGAAAACTATAATAGTACATAGGGCTGGGTATCGAGTTCGATACTTTTTAGGCACCGATAAATGCCTCGATACCATGGAGTATCGAAAAATGTCTCGTCGTTCGGTACCAAATTTCGATACCTAAGGGGTTAATCTCATCAGCGTCAGTGAGCCAATAAGCCTGCAGCACTAGCCGGTGTGTTCGACTAGAAGAGGCGCGGCGCAGATCGATCAGTGTTTGACATCCGCGAGAGTGATTCGAAAGCGCACGGAGCAGTCTGCTCTCTTTAGCTCTCGTGGTACTGTAATACACCGATCGGGCCGCGTCAAGTCGAACACACCTACTAGTTTACACCGGTTACACTCAGAGATGTGGCGCACACGTGAGGCTGTAGTGTGAATGCGTCCCAGCCCCCTTAGATGTAAGGCTACATTTACACTGGTGCGTTTATGTTTTAAAATGAAAATGATCCTCGTCATACTGGTGTTTCCACTGCGTTTCAAGCCGGCTTTCCACTATCTCCAATAAACGACAAGCGACAGACCGGTCATTCAGTCATTCATTTCCAATGGAGAGTAGTGCGGGAGCTGCGTGGAGTTCCGATCATATGCTGATGTCCGTTCATACTACACGACCGAAAGCGCGTGTTATGTGACCATTCATGCAAACTGTAGCATCATGCTACATAAGACAACAAATAAGATTTATATCCCGCTTTTACTCAAAACTCACTTTAAACCACCATCGAGTGTTTTTATTAACTTCCGATTGCCGTCTAATGTGTTTTTTAGCCATGTAATGTTGCTGAAATGAAATATGTTATTACCTCTGACTCTGAGTCAGAGCAGCGATCATGGAAGAGAGAACACAGGCAGACAGCGCTGGAAGCTGCTAATGCTCATCAGTAAATCAGTGGAAAATAAATAGAAATCATGATTCTGTCTGAGCTACGCGTTTTAAAACAAACACTAACTAGTGTAAATGTAGCCTAACAGATGTGTAAACTGAAGACTATTTGAGCTTTATTAAAACTATTTGCACTGATTTATTGTGTTGGTTACCTTTTGTTCATTTGTGCAGTGGCTCAGGAGACGAGTCTTTGAGTTTGTGTAAACATCAACAAGCTGAAAAATAAAACCAAAGTTAATTTTTTTAGATAATGTAATCTTGTTAAAATTTATTTCATAAAATTGGTATCGAAAAAAGTATCGTTCAGGAACCGGTATCGAAGTCAAGGTATCGGTATCGATATCGAAAAGTTTTGAACGATACCCAGCCCTAATAGTACATCAGTGACAGTAAAATAACACAGGCGCACACTGTAGTCTAGTAGTCTAGTCTGTTGTGTGATTGACAGCACTGTCAGCGTGACAACAAGGCCATGAATAATATCAGGGTCGTTGCCGTGGGCGACCGTGCATCATCATTAAATGTGTGTGTATATTTGTGGACAGACACGAGAGCGGCAGTAATAAGATGCCCTTTCCATAACACCGCTGTTTATGAGCAGTTCGGTTCAGATCACGTAACAGTGATCACCACCTCTGTGCTGCTTACAGCTGTGTGTGTGATTCTCGTGTCTAAAGCCACGATTGAGTCACTCAACGAACAGTTCATCCAAAAAAGAAAAATTGCTGAACATTTACTTACCCTCGGGCCATCCGAGATGCAGATGAGTTTGTTTCATCATCAGATTTGGAGAAATGTAGCATTACATCAGTGTCTCAGCAATGGATGCTCTGCAGTGAATGGGTGCCGTCAGAATGAGAGTCCAAACAGCTGATAAAAACATCACAATAATCCAGTCCATCAGTTAACATCTGGAGAAGACAAAAGCTTTGTGTTTGTAAGAAACAAATACATCATTAAGACGTTTTGAACTAAAATCTGAGTGCATAATCCATAATAACGCTTCCTCCGCTGAAAAAGTGGTCTGGTGTGAATCAGGAGAGAAATATGCACAGATCAAGCACTGTTTACAAGCCAAAACAGCTCTAAACAAAATATGAGAGGGGATTTTGATGTGAGAGACAACAGAACATTTTCGCTGGAGGAAGCGGTATGGATTATGGACTTCTATTTTAGTTGGAATCAACGGTTTGAAGTTAAAAACATTTTGATGGATTTGTTTCAGCTTTTGTCTTCTCCAGATATTAACTGCTGGACTGGAGTGGTGTAGATTACTTGTGGATTATTGTGATGTTTTTATCAGCTGTTTGGACTCTCATTCTGACGGCACCCATTCACTGCAGAGCATCCATTGCTGAGACACTGATGCAATGCTACATTTCTCCAAATCTGATGAAGAAACAAACTCATCCACATCTTGGATGGCCTGAGGGTGAGTAAATCTTCAGCAAATTGTCATTTTTGGGTAAACTATTCCAACAATAACCTAACCTAACATTTCCATTGACATTAGATCCGTTAGATCGTGGCGATTAAGCAGATAAGACGTGTGATCTGTTCTGCTCTGCCCTGAGTTTGATTGACAGCTGTCAGTCACAGACGCTGCTGCCCTCGTGAATTATTTTTCAGCACTCGTTGTGTGTGTTTCTTGCACTCTTCACAGTATTGGCTCTTCTCTAGAGTTGCTATGGTGATGCTAGTGTGCGTGTGGTTGGTTAGCTAGTCTCAGATGCACATATTAGCTCTCTTACAAACCTTGATAGCATTTTAAGACATCGGAGGCACAAAAGCTGTTTGAAAAGAGATGCTGCGAAATGATTCCGCCTCATAAGATATCTTGTTTTAGCAATAAGGCAATCCCAGAATGCACTGCGGCAAATGAAAGAATGCATGTAATTCCAATAGAGATGTTGCAAAGCTAACTAATAGTGCAATATGCACGAATTCTACATACAATACATGAATACTGGTTAAAATATTTCCATTTTAATTGCATTGTAAGGTAGCCAGTTCACTAGGATTTGGAAAAGAGCTTGTGTTGAGAGAAATTTGGACTATGTATATCATTCAGTACTGAGAAATATTGATAAAATAAAACACCTTTTACCCAATATTCATTATTACACTGGAAAAATGATTTTCCATATGCTTCTTGTTCCGTTAATTACAATGAGCTAAAGGAACAGTTGCTGAACATTTTATCAACTTAATTTCATTGTGTTCACTTAAATGTCAAATTGTAGTTTACTTAAATAATTTGTGTTGTTGGGACTACATTCATTTTTGTTGCATGTACTGAAACTTCATGGGTGGACTTTTAGCTCCCAGCATGCTTTGCATAGGACAGATCTGGGAGAATAAATGTTTAATTTAAGTGCTGTGTTTCTGAGCCAAGGCAAAGACTTGTTAACATATAAAGTTCATTTATGTTGGTGTTGAGTTTGGGTGGTTTGGTTGTAGGATGGTTTAACGATGACTATAGTGTTTCTGGTTTTGTTTAGTGAACATACACTCAAAAAAAAAATAACACTTTGTAGTGCTTGCTTAGCTTTGTAAATATCACAATAATTAAAATCTCTGAACATCACTGAAGTGATTGAGTTAAAATTAATGCCTAAAATAAATGCCTCCAAATAGTTAATTTTGTCTAAAAATTAATTAATTAATTAATTTATTTTAAAAATACATTTGTATTTGACTAACAAATTGTATATTAATATATATACTTAATGTAATTTTTAAAAAATATTAAATGTTTTATTTAATTTAATTTTTATTTAGTTATGTGGATTTTACTTAATTCCATGTGTGACATTTACTTGAAAGATCTGAGTGCAAAACATGCAAAAGAAAAACACATTTACATGTTAGGAAATGTAAAATATTAAATAATTATTCAAATACTATTTTTAATTTAAAAGTACAATTTTATTATTTTAAAATTTTAATATATTTTTTGCCTTGATGTTTTATAGTTAAAAAAAAAACTATTGTATTATTATTATATAAGGGTGTGTGTGTATATTTATTTATTTTTACTTATCTAATTTTACTTATATTAGAAACATCTGCAAAACAAAAAAATGAGTAAATTCAACTTTTTTTTCAGTGTAGTTCAGAAACCATCTGACAGTCGAGTTTCCTCTGTGATTTACAGTGTATGTTGCTCATTGCTGCGAATTCTTCTCGACTGAAGAGTTTTGCGAGACTGTTTTTCCTGTTTATTACTGTGAAGCGATCTCTACTGTATAAATGCTGTATGAATAATCTCTTCTGTCTGTGTAGCTGAGGATCGGGATCCACTCGGGCTCAGTGCTGGCTGGAGTCGTCGGTGTGAAGATGCCACGCTACTGTCTGTTTGGAAACAATGTCACGCTGGCCAGCAAGTTTGAGTCGGGCAGTCACCCACGCTGCATCAACGTCAGCCCTACTACATACCAGTGAGAGAACACACACACACACACACACACACACACACACACTAGCCAGTGTTTCTCGGCTGATGTGTAACTCTGCTGCAGTGGAGACAGTCACAACTGTTTCTATGGCAACCTGCTTCAGTCGAGATCGTCAAGGACGATACTCTGCAGTCAAGTGCAGCTCTGAAGATCTGCTCTCACACACACACACACACACACACACACACACACACACACACACACATATCAAAATACAAATGTCACGCTGGCCAGCAAGTTTGAGTCGGGCAGTCACCCACGCTGCATCAACGTCAGCCCTACTACATACCAGTGAGAGAACACACACACACACACACACACACACACACACACTAGCCAGTGTTTCTCGGCTGATGTGTAACTCTGCTGCAGTGGAGACAGTCACAACTGTTTCTATGGCAACCTGCTTCAGTCGAGATCGTCAAGGACGATACTCTGCAGTCAAGTGCAGCTCTGAAGATCTGCTCTCACACACACACACACACACACACACACACACACACACACACACACGTTTCAAAATGCAGCAGCGAGCACCTGTGTTTGTAGACATCCACAAACACTCTACATGAACAATCATGCACAGGCAAACTGACACACGTGCACAATTAAACACACACACAGTATGAATAATCAAGCACACATATATATGCCTACACACACGTGTGCACGAGTATATGCATATAAACACACATGTACATGTCTAAATTATACACTCTATAGACGTCTATTGTTTTTATATGCATCTCATTATAAATATTACAGATGAGATTTTCAGGGGTTTGTGAATTGTTGAATAGCTGGTAAATATTTAAATCATAAAAGTGTTGAATTACAGTAAATTAAATAGGACTGCACAATAAATAGAAATAAAATCTAAATCACGATGTGGCTTCATTCAGTCCATCATTGCATTTCACTTATAACATGCGTTTGGAAACACGGCAGGCACCAGGATCACTTTATTTTCACATTTGTATTATTTCCAATATTTTTGGGGACGTGCATTTTTAGGATGTTACCAGATTTGTGACCAGAACCAGACTTTAATTTCTCATTGCAGTTTTATACTAAAACCAAGACTTGTTGAGTGTATATTATCTAATATTATCAAATATTATTTTTATTATAATTATATTTTTAAATTAAATTATATATAAATTATAATCATATATTTTGTCTTGATTTTATAGTTTTTAGAAGTATAATAAAATAATATAAAACAATTTTATAATAAGAACACATTTTAATGAATTATTGAAATATTAACTTGAAATACA